ATCCCTCTATTTGTGTTTGGGTGTTTTGTCCTTTGGGTGGACCAGTTTTTGCCGCAGGGTGTTCTCTGGCTTAAAGTTGACGTTTCTCCCTGTTGGTGTTGGGCCTCTTTCTTGCTTTGGTGAAGGCCCACTTAGGGTATCCACAAGCCCTAAGGGAGTTCTGGATGTGTAGTTTCTCCTTCTTGGCCCCTTCTGCAGTTGTGGGCACTTCCTCTGCCCTGTGATTTAAAGTTCTGATGACTCCCAGTTTGTGTTGAAGTGAATGGTGCGAGTCAAAAAAGCAGGTATGTGTAGGTGTGTGTAGGTTTTTGATATACTTCTACCTTCAGGTTTCTGTCCCCTCCCAAGTGGACTGCACAATCCAAAAAGGCCAGACAGTCATCTCTGGCCATCCTCATGAGTGAACTTGATGTTGTCATCCACAGAGTTGATATGCTTGGTGAAAGCCTCTACCTCCTGGGTCCTGATTTTAACCCATGTGTCATCCACGTAGCGGAACCAGTGGCTGGGAGTGGTACCAGTGAAGGAAGACAGGGCTTTCTCCTCAATTTCTTCCATGTACAGGTTGGCAACTATAGGAGACACAGGGGAGCCCATCGCACAGCCATGTTGCTGCCTATAGAAGTGCCCCCTAAACTGGAAGTAGGTAGTGTTTAAACAGAGTTCCAGCAGAGTGCATACATGGTCTGGGGTGAGGTTAGTCCTGCTGTTCAGTGTGTCATCCTTCAGGAGTCTCTTCTTCACTGCCTTGACAGCCCATGTGGTGGGGATGCAAGTGAACAAGGATGTGACATCATATAAGACCATGGTCTCGTCCTGGTCCAGCTGCAGTTGTTTGACTTTCCTCATGAAGTCCTGTGAGTTAATAATGTGGTTTTCTGTCGGGCAGAACTGATGAAGCCTCTTGAATGAGGGTGAAACGTCTTCGACCTAAAAACCTAGTCCAGTTTATTTTTCTACATATTTTCAGCTTACTACGACCTGGGTGACTGAGAATCTGCATGGACATGTTGGCACACAGTAAAACAACAACAATCACCGAAATTTACTTAGTTGTCCTGACATGATGATGGTACGTGCTCTAAATCTCAACATGCTGCTCACTTTAAAGTAAACTGTTGAGAGTCTATTATAGAGAATAGGGAATGAGTGATCGAGAGAGTCATTTTACACACAATACCAATGCATCAAAGCGTACAGTTTCTCAGTACTTTTCCACTTCCCCAGCCAATCTGTAGCTCCAAGCCAGCTGCTCTCTACCAAAGGCAGAAACAGTTACAAACAGGTCTCAGATATACACTTTCATCTTAATAGAAGGCAAAAATAATTTCATAAAAACAGTTGGTCATGATGTTTTTTCACGTTATCCAAGCAGGAGAGCATTGTATGTATGACTTTTAACTATTTTTAGCTACAGAGTTAGAGCACTACTGAATATTTACTCTATGTTTGACACTGGATGTGGGGATTGACTCAAAATAAACCACAGAGCTGACACCAAGAAAAATATCGAATATCATCAGCTGTGATGGGCGAGCATGAATACTCACCTGTAATTTCTTACAGAGGTGCAAGTAATTTAGATGTTGATCGTTACCACAACAGTAACTAAATTCTCTGCACAGAGGTAGGCTAATGGCTCAACTGAGAGCAGAGGTGGATTAAGTAGCACCTGTTCTGTGATGCGATGCTTTAATGACCAGCATTTTCTTTTCTCAGAGACCAGTTAATTACACAAAAGTCCCCCTGACAGCTGACATCTCATTAAGCTCCTCCTGGTGACACTCATTCAAGCAACAGTCCTGAACTTGTCCTGTTCTCAGTTTGATGGAATAAAAGTGAAATAATCAAGGCAGCTGTCTTCATCGTCTTCATCAGTTCAACCTCAGACAGAGAGAATGGAAGGGGTGCTCCTCAGAAGACACAGCCTCATTAGCAGCACTAATAGGGAAATGCTGGTTTGAAAAATAGATGATACTAATAACTTCCTGTTGGAGCTTACCGTTCACTTCCTCCAGTGGGTTGCAGGTGTTTTGACCTAAGGAAGTGTAGTGTTTTTACAGATTAGGCTCACTTAATTTGAGTGGAATTAAAACTTGCATATCATTCAGTAAGCTTATTTATTTGTTCTTGTCTTCTCAAAAGTTGTCTGTTATCTAACGGTGCCTCTGTACATTGTCATACTGTAACTATAGGACAACTTAAAACTGAATGGTAGAAAGGGGTCAGTGTAGGAAGGAGACATTTTTGCATAATTTACTTTTTACTGACAGCTATTTATTCAAGACTGACTCTATTAAAAGCTGTCAGAGCACAGAAAGGTACTTCCCATTACTAGCAGGCACATCATCAACTGGCACAGGCACGCAATTCACGTCCGTGGTCTCACATGGGTTTTGTGATCAGAACATTTAAATGCCAAAGTAGATTGATCCCGCTGACAGTTCTTCAAAGGTCAGCGTTGCTTGAACTGGAATCAACAAAACATCAGAGAAGCAGAGAAGATGAGGAGCGAAGAACGGAGCTGCTGTCTGTTCAGGTAGTTCAAATGCAAATGTGTCTCTGTACGTGGATGTGTGTATTTGAAAGCGTCTATTCAACTCTGCAGCGCTAATTACCGTAGCTTGTCAAAGAAAAGAAATAGGTACAATAAAAGAGGACATTTCACAAAAACCTGCAGACACTGCCGAAAGCAGTCAGTCAGAAACATAATGAACACTGAGTCCAAGTCTGGTGCTCCAACTATTCCACACTACATGTGCATCATAGCACTAAAGTCTGATCTCATAGGTGTGTGTACTGTACTTCAATGCTTGAAAACCCAGTGTTTAGCAGCAACATGAAGCTGCACAGCCTTAGTGATTAATGTGTTCTGGGAGTTTTATGACCTCTTGGGTGAGACATAAATGAGCAAAGCAGCCACAGACCACCACCCACCTTAGTGAAATCACAGTCCATGCAAACCAGATAGGCACATAAGTTATATAGGCCATAAAAAGGGTCCAGCAGGCACATTAGATAGAGCTCTCCTCTCATTTTAAAAGCATCCCTGGCTCTGATGAGGGTATAAAATTTTAACATGTCTGGACATTTGAATGGGGTTGTCTGCATGAGTGTGCCAGTGTTGTGTGAATGTGCATATATGTGTATGTGCTTGTGTCAAAGCCAAGAGTTCCTCCAGCAGCAGCAGCAGACCTCAGATGACCCTGAAGAGAAGTGTACCAACAGATCCACCCACTCCACAGATCCTACAGTAGGTCTGCTTATGTTAGTCATTCCCCAGATTTGTCAAAGGGTACATTGGCAGCAACAGCACAGCTGAAGCCCCCATGGGAAGAAGGGGGGGATCAGAGTGAGACTAAGCAGTATGCATATGATGCAGTGTGGATCCATTGTGAATCAGCCATCAGCCAGGAGGAGGTGGACAGTCAGGGGAGACTGTGAAGGGCCTACACCACAAAAAAAACTCCAACCTGCAGCAGCTGTCTCTCAGTTCTCTTAAGCGACCCTGTAAAATCTAAAGATGAATATTTCTTTTCATTATGTCTAAAAGCATCTGATGAAAACATCACAAAGGAACCTCCAAGGAACAGAGATGGACCCACTTAGCCTCAGTCCCTCTCACACTCTCATGTCACTGACCATTAAACAGTGATAAGTTAACTGTGACCAACACTTTTTTGCCTCCACGTCCTTTCCTGCCCAGTCCTGCCTGAGCAGTCCTTTCCATTCTGCTGTGTGTCGGTGCATATCGTTCTCACTGATGGAAGATATGATGCTGTCTGAATGATCTGTCTATCTAAATGAGCTGTCTGTAACACTGCACTGGGTCTGAATGGCAGGCCTCTGCATTACATTAACGCTGACTGTTGTGCTTATGCGACCAAAAGATTACAGCGATGATGTCTCTAAAATGAATCCATCCTGTTTGAGGTGCTCTTGTCACCAAATATTTCATGGTAGACACAATTATAGATTATGAAATAGAATAAACAACAAAGAGAATTTAGACAAAACAATTTCAGTTTTTGAGTTCAGTGTCTAGGGATCACTTGGTATTATAACAGCTTTATGGGGCATAATTAAGGTGTAATAAAAATATTTTCTGAACAGACATTGCTAAATAATTTAAAACCTACATTTAAAGAATTTTGCTGCTCTGGCAAAATAATACACTGCCTTCAAAATATAAAAAGGAATTATTAAAAAATAAATGTATAAACTGAAAAACATAGATATCAGATTTAACTGTGAAGACAGCTAGGGACATAATTCATTAGAAAAATCAAACGCACAGGAAAGGATTTTTCTTTTCTTCCTGAAACTGGGGGACTGGAAATCTGCTTCAAACAGACATTTTACATGCATACTTGAGCTCTACGTTTACACGCTAGTCTCTCTGCTTTACCTGGACGACAGCAGAATACAAAGTAGGTGCATTTGGTATTGCATGTTGGTATTACATGTGCATATATAAAAGTGCTACTTCTACTGTATCAGTATTCTTATTAAGAGCTCCAGGTGGTGGCACACATGTGCCAAGCCAATTACAAATGTTTTCAAAAGTATTGAATGAATTCAAACTGCTCACTGCAGAGTTTACAGAGCTTAGAGCTTTCTTGGGTTCATATCTGTCCAAAATCTCACTCCCTTCTACCTGAAGAACCTGCCCCCTCCCCCAATCACTGCCACGTGTTTTTGTTGGAACATATGAGGTTTAACATTATATTTTCCTGGTACTAGGTGGGTGTTTTTCCTTTGAGCTAATCTGTGTCACTTTCCAACATCTTTTATTTCTCTCTAAGTTAAAAGCTTGTAGTTTTTACCTTACAAATAAATGATTATGACAGACCTTCTATTTCCTTGTCATCTCATATAGCTTTTTCCAACTTAGACATTCATATGATGGTTTGGAAATGTATGCTGAAATAATATACAAAACATTTAAGGTTGAAATGACATAAACTGTGTGTAGCAGTATAGAGACAGTGCACATTTACCTTATGATCCATGACACCTGTGTACCCCTCAAGTGTTGTTGATGGTCTTTGTGGTCTCTCTGGCTTTTTTATGGATGAAACAGGAACATGTAAATGGTGCAAAGCTGATGATGAGGAGGAAGATGATCTGTCACCAGAGCTGTTGTTGTACACCAACATAAAGCTGGTAGCCATGGTGATGATGATGATGCCAGTAACCCCTTGGCACTAGAGAGACAAATGAAACAAGCAATTAAGAAAAAAAAAACAATAAAACATCATCAAGCTGCAGCACTTGATTTAAACAATTCACACAGTTTATGTTCAAAAGTGCATTTTTGGTGGGGGTGGGGTGGGGTGGGGGGGGATCACTGCTAATTACAGGAAATGCCAGCATTCAAAGCAGAAGCAATAGTGTAATAACTGCTAGGCTTCCCTCATGCAAGGCTGGAAATGAAATGTGAGCTGTTACACTCAGATATGCTCTTTCAATAGAGCAGTGCAAAAATAGCACTAAACTGTTCATTTCAAACATGTTTCATATTTGCTTCTCCCTGAGAAAAAAACTTCAGAAGGTGCTGTCTTCTAGGACTGTTTTATAGGAATATTAGAATTTAGACGACTGTAAAAAACACCACAAAGTGCAATTAGGTCACAGCAGACTACATAATGACAGAGCTCAGCCTGCAACTCACTTCTGAGCAGCATAAGCACTAAAGCTCACAACAAAGGAATATTACATTAATATTTCCTGCAGGTCTCATTCATAATTACCACTCTTATCTTCATCTCCATTTCCCCTCGTTTTCAAGCGCAGATCAAACCTTCACCGTATCGGGGCCAAGGCTCTCTCACGGAGTGTCGGCACTCTTCAGCATGCAACACTTGAGCGGCAGCATCGCTGGG